TTGACTTCTTTCAATAGAAGTCTAATATACTACTTGTCCCTAGTGGCAGGGTGGGTTTTGCAATGGGCTGTTAACCTCACGTCATCAGTATGAAACTACCATTTGCTCTGCAGGAAAAAGAGGAGGATTTAAAAAAAAGAGAAGGAAATATTAATATAAAGTTAAAAATAAAGAGTAAAAAAAAAAAGGCCACTAGCAATGTTAAAAACTCCAGAGAACAAATTTCTGTCGTGGAACAAGCAAGAAATATTTAAGCCTAGAGAAAATTCAGGTTGCGTCAAGCGGGAGGTCAGCTGACCAAGTATCATATTATATCATGTCTGATAGTAAAGCTATTTGTGTTCATCACCGGTTACCAGAGGTTTAATCTGCAGATAGAGTTTGGGCTCCCGTTGTCCTCCTTAGGCTTCTACCAATTGAGTGTTCACAATTTAAGCTCTGATACTTTTCCCTTCTTATTATTTAGATTTTATTATTTTAATCTTTGGATCATAAAGGCTGGTGTGCTTCTTCCATGTGGACTTAGTTGACATCTAACTTAGATGGCTGCTTGATTGAATATAAGACTTAAGATCCCAGACACTATTCCAATTGTTAGCCAGGCACCATCTACTTTCTTCACCACACTTTGCTGTAGCACCCTTATTTTTGGTGATCTTTTCATGAAAGTGTTAGGTCAGTGGTTCTCAATCTTCCTAATACCGTGACACTTCCATACATCATGTTGTGATGACCTCCAACCATGAAATTATTTTTGTTGCTACTTCATAACTGTAATTTTGCTACTGTTATGAATCATAATGTAAATAACTGATATGCAGCATGTATTAGGTGACCCTTGTGAAAGGTTAGTTCGACCCCCTGACGGGTCGCGACTCCCAGGTTGAGAACCAAGGGGTTAGGTACTAGAGGCCTCCTACTTGTTTCTTCTTTTGAAGTTCTTTGCTTCTCCTGGGTCCTTTCCCTAGCAACATGAAATTGGTTATTAGTGTTTTCCATTTCTTTAAGGAATGTACTTGTGATTTGGATTGGGATTGCATTGTGTATTTAGATTATTTTAAATAGTATAGATATTTTTGCAATATTAAGTCTACTACTTCATGAACATTTATGTACGTCTTTGGGGGTTTCTTAAAGTAATATTCTATAGTTTTTTCTGAATAGGACTTTTTTTTTCTTTAGATAGATTTATTCCTAAATATGTCAGCTTTTGTGTGGTTATTACAAATGGTATTTTTTAAATGTCTTTTTCTTTCTTTTTTT